CAAAATAAGAGATATTAGTTCCTAAAAGATTCCTCTAAAGTTAAAAAAAGATTAAGAAAAACATTAAGCTAATGGACTATTACACTTGCAAAAATACATGTTTCTTAATGGACACATGTTTACTTTTAGCAATAGTACACTTAGTCTCCTGTCTCATAAAACTCAGAAGACACCAGTGACGTCTAAATGAGCCACAGCAATTAAAGCTTCTTTTTCATATTAAAATAACTTTAAGACCTAAATCTTTCTTTTCTAAGAACACAACGGATGGCTAACAGGAAAGGAACACGCTGTGCAAGTCACTCTGAAGAAAAGAAATGCATGTGGGAGAGCGGGCGGCGCGGCTGCTAACAGGACTAAGCCCGCCGGTGACGCTCGCTCGCTCGCTCGCTCGCTCGCTCGCTCGCTCGTGTGGACTCAGAGCACCAGCCGGTCCTCTCCTCCCTCCTGGATTACCTGACCGACGGAAACCTGGCTTTGCTGTTTTAGAAAGCACTGCTTCTTGCATTCCATCAGTTTTTCCAAATCACGCCACATCTTTGCTTGTTTCATATTCGGACCATGACTTTCTCGTACAGCTTTTTGTTTTTCCCGGAGTTTCTATCATAAGAAAATATCAAGAAGAATTAGGTCTCAGTGAGGAAGATTTTCTTCTACTGCTCTAAGTCAGAAACATGCTGTGTTTTGTACATTTAATGGGTAATAGTTAAGTGACCAGACTTTCCTGTAATGTGTCAAAATTAATGTAAAAGTTTAGGACAACCTGGAGTTTAAAAAACTAGGAAAACACAAAAAAGAAGTGAAGGAGAAATGAAAAGAATCAGGAAAGCAGAATGGTGCTATGGAGGAGAATGCAGACTTGGGAAGACGGGGCGTGCCCCTGTCGCTAGGCGTAAGCAAGGTGCTGCCGTCTTCTGGAGCTCGGGGCCTTGGCTGGCCAGGCGGCACCGTGCCGCCGAGCTGCCTCCCCCACCCGAAGCGTGCGGCGTAAGACTTTTGCAGGCTGAGGCTTGGACCTAGGGCTGGCACACAGAGCTACGTTCTCAGCCCATTCTTACGTTTCTCAGTACATGTTTTCAGTACATGATTCCACTCACAGTGAGGAGTCGGTACATGTACATAGCACATTCTAATTCTTATGTCCCTTTCTCCTCCCTTTTCTCCTTTTTCCCTTGGTTGCATTTTTTTTTCACCATTCCTTATTTTTATTTTTTATTTTGAGGCAGGATTGCTGGGTGTGGTGATGCACACCTGTAATCCCAGCACTCTGGAGGCTGAGGCAGGAGGATTGCCATGAGTTTGAGGCTAGCCTGGGCTATACAGGGAGTTCATGTCCAGCCTGAACTACATAGTGAGACTGTCTAAAAAATAAGTAAATAAATAGAAATGAAAAGTCTATTACAGACAATCTTTTATTTTTTGGCAGAACCAGGGATTGAACTCAGGCCCTTGCACCTGCCAGGCAAGCACTTATTCTACTGAGCCATCTCCTTGGCCCCAATATTACAGACAATCATGCCAAATCGTAAAGATCTACAAATCTATTCTGTACAAAGCAGTGTTTATAATTTGATTCAAATACACAACTTCAAACATGAGAACTATTTCTACTTTTTCTTTTGAGTATGGTATGTCTTCCCATGGGCACACAGAAGTGACAAGTTCCCTGATAAATGGGGAAACCATTTTCCTTTTCCTTTTTACCTTTATTAATATAATAGCCATTTATCCAGAAATCATAAAGAAAGAACAGCTGAATAATTTTTAGAGAACTGGCTGATTCTAGATTTGGTATCAAGAATCCAACATAGAACCTTACACTTGCCAGGCAGGCCTGCGTTGCTAGCTCTCCAGGCCTGAGGCTAGTTGGACTAGGGAATATATAGGAGTAACCTGGGACATTCTGCCGCAAGAAAGGAAAGAAGCCATTAGCGTTGTTTCTGCAGGGTGAGAAACTGTCTGTTAGAGGCAAAGATGAGGCGGTCTGGGCCCACACAGGAATAACAATTTATTGTAATATAAGGAAATTACCTGAAGCCAGCAAATAAGCAACTCAGTCAGGGTTTTTTCTGCCTTTCTTATATGAACTGAACTTCACATAAGATTAGCTGGTTTTGTTTTGTGTTTCTGAGACAGGGCCTCATGATGTAGACTGGCCTTAATCAGGACATCCCTTGCTTCCACCTCCCAAGGGCTAGAATTATAGAAGTATGTCACCACACCCAGTGCATTAGTTGCTCTTTATAGAATTATTTTAGCCAATAAATGAAGAAAATTCATATTTAGAATATGACCATTTTGTCATCTCTATTGAATTACAGATTTAAGAGATGATTACCAATGGATGCCTGTATCACAAGGGAAAGCCCGCTAACAGGGCTGTGAACAATTCTTGTCATGTATCAAGAACACTTAACAAAGCCTCCATCTCTACCTTCCAATCCACAGAAGACACTGGAGACAGATGAACCTGCCAGTTGATACTGCGCAGAAGTAGTTAGCAAAGTCCAAAAGCTGGAAACCCATTAGGACAAATGACCAGGCTATTTTTCCTTCCAACTAATAAATTATAAGAAAAAATAATGGAGGAGTAAGGCATGCTCCATCTCTGTGGCCCACACAGTGTGCCTGGGGTTGGGGCCAGCAGCACATGTCGTTCCAGGGACTGAACCAGAGTCCCTGCGCTTGCTTATGCGTGCACTTAGACTGCTGAGCTGTCTCCTGGCCCACATGTATGTGCTAAAATAATAATTCAAACTAGAAAATGGAACTAAGGATGAATAATTTTGCTGTCATCAACTTACTGACTCAGGCCAATAGCTAAACTATACAAATGCATTATGTTGGAAACAAAGTTATGCTTTTTATTTGTATTTTAATAATGAACAAGCATATATATATATATGTATATTCATATTTATCTCCATGTTGCAGACTCAAGAATATTTACAGTGAAATTGCACACCTATACACAAAGAAAAAAATCACAGCTAA